TCTTTTTTGTCTTTTTTTGGGATTTTTTGTTCTTTTTAGTTCTTTTGATGGATAGTTTGTTTGTTGATAGATGTGGCAAATAAATTGGGTTTTTATTTGCTTTTTTGGTTCTTTAAATCTGCTTTTTTTGGCTTTTTTGGCTTTTTATTTGCTGTTTTTAAAGTCCTTTTATCTTTTTTATTTGTTGTTTTAAGTCCCTTTGATAGCCACTACTGGATTGTCGACAGATGTGGCAAACAAATTAAGTAATTATTTGTTTTTTTTTAATTTTAGTTTTTTAAATCTCTTTTTTTGGCTCCTTTTTGACTCCTTTTTGGCTCCTTTTTGTCTTTTTATTTGCTGTTTAAAGTCCTTTTGATGGACTTAATTGGATTGTAGATAAATGTGTCGGGAATTGTTTGTTTTTTTTTGAATTTTGTTTCTTTCAATATCTCTTTTTGTCTCCTTTTTGTCTCCTTTTTGCCTTTTTTCTGTCTCCTTTTTGTCCTTTTGGTGGACTTAATTGGGTTGTAGATACATGTGGGAAACAAATTCTGTAATTATTAATTTTTTGTTTTAAATTCTAGCTGTTTAAATCTGTCTTTTTGAATTCTTTTTAGTCTTTTTATTTGTGATTTGAAGTCCTTTTTGCCTGTTTTATTATTTCAATTCCATTTTAATTTGTTTTATTATTTTAATTCTATTTTAATTTGTTTCATTATTAAATTCTATTTTAATTTGTTTTATTATTTTAATTCTATTTTAATTTGTTTTACTACTTTAATTTTACTTTAATTTCTTTTATTCTTTTAACTCTATTTTAATTTGTTTTATTATTTTAATTTTATTTTAATTTAATTTTAATTTCTTTTATTCTTTTAATTCAATTTAATTTGTTTTATTATTTTAATTTTATTTTAATTCTATTATAATTTGTTTTATTTTAATTAATTTTAATTTGTTTTATTTTAATTCTATTTTAATTTTATTTTAATTTATTTTAATTTGTTTTGTTTATTTGGCAGATACATAATTGACTTCTACGACGGCAAAAAAGAAAACGGCGAAGTTTCGATTTTCATCGACGCGCGTCCGGACTTGTCTTCATTTGGCAACATTTGGGACAGAGTGCGCGTGGCTGCGCAAAAGTACAAATTTTGGTGAAAAACACTTCTTTTTTCTCCGATTTGAACCAAATAAACTTCATTTTATTCATTTAAACATCAATTTTATTCTTAATTGCAAAAAATAATCCAAAAAAGTGAAAAAACGACCCCAAACGAAACATTCCAGGAGCCCCCCACCCCGGGTGTACGTACACCCCGGACACCCCGCAGCCCCAAACCCTAAACCCTAAACCCTAAACCCTAAACCCTGGGTTTGGGCTGAGGGGCGTTTTGAAAGGATTCAAAAGGGACGAAGAGTGGGAGCAGTTGCTCCTGTAGAAACTTTCAAATTAAAATCAAAGAAATGCAATTCTTTTTTGTTGCATGCAAACAAACATGCTTTTTGTTCATTTGCTTTAAATAGAAGTATATCTATTAGTGCCTGTAGATTTAGAAAAATAGAAAACAAATATTTATCTACATTTCTATATAGAGCTGCACAACTTTATTTAAATATATGTTTATATCTGTATCTTTATCTACATATATAAATATATAGATCTAGCTATATATAGATGTATATATATGAACATTATATATATTTATATATATTTATATCTGTATATATGTATAAATATATATATCTATGTATAGATACTCCATTATATATGTATGTATAAGAATATATAACTTATTTATTTATATCTACATCTATATATATATATGTATATATATATTGTTACAAATGATTAAAGAGTTCAGGAGTTTATAAACATTTACCTCTTTGCATAAATAGACACAGTCCTTTAGATAATAATTGCACACTGTTAGTAGATCTGCGCATGCATGTACATAAATTATATATATATATATATATATGTTGAATATAGAGATATATTTATATAAAAGAGATATATATATATATTATATATATGTACAATATATAAATATACTGTACATATATATTATATATATATATAATATATATAAAATATATATATATATATGTTGCATATTATATATATATATATTATGTATATGTATAATATATTGTATGTATATATTATAAACAGATACAAATGAGTAAATATGATAAGAGAAAAAGAGCAATTTGGAATTATAGTTCAAAATGCACAAAACCAGCTGCATAGAAGTCAAATTTTAAAAAAAACAAAAAAAGAAAAAAAACAAAAAATGAAATTTTTATTTTTTGCGACAAAACGCATGCGGCAGCTGTACAGACACCCCACGGGTTTGTTTAGCGGCTTAATAGTTTGCATGCAAATAAATAAATACATTTTTATTTATATACTTTTATATTCACATGTTTGCTCTTGAGGACTTTGAATCTTTGTGTAAATAATTATTATTTACTGGGACACATAAAGTGAAACGCATGCAATTATGAATATATATATATACATATATATATAGATATATATATATATATGTATATGTGCATGCATATATATATATGTGCATGCATATATATGCATGCAAATATATATATATATTAGCATGCATATATATATGCATGCATATATATATATATGCATGCATATATATATATATATATACGTATATATGCATGCATATATATATATAGATATATATAGATATATATATATATATATATTTGCAGATATATTTTTGTAATTATGTGAGTTCTAAAGTCTAATTAGATATTGATGTATTTTATTTTTTTAATAATTTATCTTCTTTTTTTTGAATATTTTTTCCTGGCTACGACTTTCGCACTTTTTTGAATCAAGTACTCGACTTATCTCTATTTATCATCGAATATCATTTATTTATTTTTTTATTTTTTTATTTATTCATTTGTTTATTTATTCATTTATTTATTTATTTACTTGTTTATTTATTTTGTCATTGATTTTTATTTATTTGTTTGTTTGTTTTATCTATTTATTTTTTATTTGTCCGTCTGTTGTCGGAGAAAAAAGACAAAAAGATATTTATCTTCCCGAGTCCGCAGGAGACAAAAATAAATAAATAAAAAATAATAAATAAATAAATAAACAAAACAATAAGAATGGTAAACAAGTAAATAAACAAATAAAGATTAATAAATAAAAACAAATAAATAAAAATAAATAAATAATAAATAAGCAGCAGATATATATAGTCGCAGGGAAACAGAGAAAAAGAACAAAAAACAAAAAAAAACAAAAAAGTAAAAAAGGAAAAGAAAAAGAAAAAGAAAATAAATAAAAAGATAAAAAAGAAAAAAGAGACAACTGGAGACAAAAGGAGAAAAGGGAGTCAAAAAAGAAAACAAAAAAGATAAAAAGGAAAACAAAAAGAGAAAGAAATAAAAAGGAAATAAAAATAAAAGGAAAAGAAAAGATAAAAAGCAAATAGGGAAATGGATAGGCAAAAAGATAAGATTTGAAAAGATCAGAAAAAGGAAAAGAGACAAAAGGAAATAAAACGAAATAAAAAGAAATAAAAAGAAATTAAAAAAAGAAATAAAAGAAAGAAATAAATGCAAAGAAACAAAGAAGAAGCCAAAAGGGAGACAAAAAGAATAAAAAGAACTGAAAAAAAATGATAAATAGAAAACAAAAAAGAAAGCACAAAAGAAGACAGAAAAGAAAAAAAGAAAATAAAAAAAAATAAATAAATTAACAAAAAAGTAGAGAGGCAATGGGAAGTTTAAGAGAAAACAAAAAAGAAAATAAGAAAGAAAGTAAATTAAAAATGCAAAAAAAAGAAATGAAGAAATAAAAGACAAAAGAAATAAAAAAGAAATAAAAAAAAGATATAAAAGGGAAAGAAATAAATAGAGACAAAAAAAGACAAAAGAAAAAAAAGGTAAAAAAAAAATAAAAAAGAAAAACAGAAATCAAAAAAAGAAAAACGACAAAAAAGAAATCGAAAAAAAAGAAATAAAAAAGAAAACAAAGAAAAGAAGAAAAGTAAAAAAAGACAAAAAGAAGAAACTTAGGCTCCACATGCAGCCACCGCATGCAGCCTCTGGCTAGCTGTGGCTAGCTGTGGCTAGCTGTGGCTAGCTGTGGCTAGCTGTAGCTAGCTGTGGCTAGCTGTGGCTAGCTGTGGCTAGCTGTGGCTAGCTGTGGCTAGCTGTAGCTAGCTGTAGCTAGCTGTAGCTAGCTGTAGCTAGCTGTAGCTAGCTGTGCTAGCTCTAGCTAGCTCCGGCCAGCTAGCTGTAGCTAGCTGTCGCTAGCAAGCTGTCGTTAGCTAGCTGTAAATAGCAAGTTATAGCTAGCTGCAGCTAGCTAGCTGTAGCTAGCTAGCTGCAGCTAGCTAGCTGCAGCTAGCTGCCGCTGTGGGCGGTGAGAGCTGCCCGCAGCTAGCCCCAGCTAGCTACAGCTAGCCACAGCAAGCTGCAGGTAGCTACAGCCAGCTACAGCTAGCTACAGTTAGCTACAGCTAGCTACAGATAACTACAGCTAGCAACAGCTAGCAACAGCTAGCAACAGCAAGCTGCAGCTAACTGCAGCTAGCTAGAGTTAGCTGCAGCTAGCTGCAGCTAGCTGCAGCTAGCTAGAGTTAGCCGCAGCTAGCTGCAGCTAGCTACAGCTAGCTGCTGCTAGCTGCATGCAGCAGCTGGCTGCTGCTTCGGTCCGTAGGCGGTGGTGGCTAGCCGTAGCTAGCCAGCCACAGCTAGGTTAGCTAGCTAGCTAGCTAGCTAGCTTAGCTAGCTAGCTATCTAGCTAGCTAGCTAGCTAGCTGCTGCGGCGCTGTGTCTCTCTTTTGCTGCTTCTCTGTCTCTTTCTGATTTGCTGCTTTTATTCTTTTTTGAATTTCTTTTTTAATTTTTGAATTCTTTTTATTTTCTTTTCTTCTTTCTTTGTTTCTTTTCTTTTTGTTTTTTTTCTTTTAATTTTATTTCTTTTTATTTCTTTTTTTCCTTCCATTCCTCTTCATTCCTCAGTCTCCTTGAACCTCCAGCTTCTCTATCTCCACTTGCTGCTGCTGCTGCTGCTGCTGCTGCTGCTGCTGCTGCTGCTGCTGTTCCTGCTGCAGCTCCTGCTTCTGGAGCTGCTGTTGCTGCTGCGGCTGTTGCTTCTGCTGCTGCTGCTTCAGCGGCTGCGCAAGCTGCTGCTGCTGCTGCTGCAGCTGCTTCTGCTGCTGCAGCTGCTTCTGCTGCCGCTGCTGCTGCTGCTGCTGCTGCTGCTGCTGCTGCTCTGCCTCTCCCACAAACTTCCGCAGCAGCGCAGCAACAAGAGACAACCCGTGCTGCTGCATGCTTTGGCCCCACACTGCTTCGTTGAAGCGCTCCAGCAGCAAAGGCCGCCCCTCAAACAGCCGCCCGCTAA